CCCGGCGGAGCCGGCGGAGCCGGCGGAACGATCCGGACGAGACCGAAACCATGTGTACCGCCAGCGCTAACGCTGGTGGTACAATAACAAATGTTAGTTTTTGGCAATCAATGTTTATAGCTGAAGTTTTTTTTACATAACACTGACTCACTCCCTATTGGTCAGGCATTAATCCACTTATAAAATGATCACCATGATATCAAAAAGTTGAAATAAATCAATGATATACTTGGTGAAAAATAGGTTTCACTTTATTCCAGGCCTAATCAGAATATGCTTAGTACTTGCCTCAAGTTTTAAAAAGTGTCAGCTCAACATGAGCAAAACAACTTTTTATAAAATTTTTATAAAATCCATCATCATTGCTGATGGAATGGCAGCAGAAGCACAATCATGCTCAGATCAAAGTAAATATTTCTCTCTCATCAGTCCTAGTATCAAAATAGGTTTAGTTATTCCAAACTTACACCACTGTGGGTTAGACAGGTCCCCAAAATGTGTAGAAACAGATGCCATGTCTGTCTCAACTTTCAGCACCATTTCTCCACTTCCATTGGCAGCTATTGTCTATAATACAATATATTAAATGAAATATAACAATACAAATGAGGAGGGAGTAATCTGTATAGTATAATCTTTTTTTTTATTTTTCATAAGAGGATGAAATTGAAATTGCGAACAAATATATTATTTACAGTTTCAAAATTACAGCTTTCTGAAGGTCAAAAAGGCGTTAAACCACTAATAAAATGATTATTTTACCTAGAACTTCGGGTACTGCTATAAAATGTATTAACTGTACGATTTATAATAAATAAAACACATAATAATACAAATAAATGTTATAATTCAGTAAGAATGATCATAAAGCAGTGCCCTAAAACTCACCACATAGTTATTCAAATTTTTCATTTTGTCTGTCACATTTCTCAGCACCTTTAGGGACGGCATGTAAATACTGACCTGGAATGATACCAGACATGTGATATAGCATACACAGGATAAAAACAATAATAATGACAAAATAAGGTATAAAAGGATAATTTGCTGGCGTAGAGTAGCATTTTTCCCTTCAGCCAAATCACTATTCTTTCATCACATTTTTCTCCAAATGGTTTAAATTTGAATATGTCACATTAACTCTATTTCGTTTAGCCAATTTGAACCAGTTTCAGCATTTGGCTTAATTGATGAGTGTTAGTGCTACCCCCAGATATCTATCATTAACTTCTAAAGTATTAGATATTTGAATAAGATCTAGTGTTATACACCGCAGACTGTTAGCCAGCTTTATCTCCATTAAACATGCTCCAGATCTAAATTCCCCCAACAATATATCACATGCTCAAGATCTCTATATCCCAACGAGGCCTGAAGGGATTCCCTTTCTATTCAGATAAATATTTTCTATGCTCTATGTATTTTCTATGTAACCAGATCTATAACTTCGTAACACAGAGACACCGTCTTACAAGGACTAAATGGGAGAGGTCCCTAAACAGTATATACCACATAAGCTGATGGGAATTTTTTCATTAGTAACCAGATCATATACTTCACTTCTCCCCTAACTGCTCACATCAAAGTCTGGCATCTCTGGTTCTTCAAACTCATCCCAAAGTCTTCTTGGTATTACATTAACTGGGACATCATGAGTGACCACACGGGAATGACCAGTCAGTGAGGGCTGTGAAAAGATGATCAGAGGAATTAAAAATTTCAGTATCTTATTTAGCACTGACATCTAAGGCTCTGTTCTCACAACTTTTAGATCGATCTATCACCCCGGGGAGTCTCACTAGATTACTGTCAGATAATCCCCCTTAAGTGTCCGTCCCCGCCTACTACAAGCTTTAAGGGGTAATTAACTTTCGTGTCCGCCCGGCTGACAGCTATTTAGCGTGAACCCCCAGGGAGTTAGGTCGATCCAATGTAGGTCGATCTAATCTATGAGAATGGGGTGTAAGCCAACGGGCCATTCAGAAGGCGTTAGGTCACAAGCTACTGCGCACTATATCCAGGAGGACTCCTGCTGTGTGCAGTCAGATTTACAGACTAACATGCCTCCTCCTGGCATTAAGCAGAATACAGAGAAGCTAATGATTATACTAATACGTTGGTTGGAAACAACAGGAGGTGTGAAATTCAGCACGAGTCCCTGTACATCTAAAGTGTGTGTCCATTAGCCATTGTGACCTACAAATTCTGAAGAGTCACTATCAATCCAAGTGTAGATGCCATAGTTATGGGTACTGCTTAGGTGTTAAGTTTTTTAATAGGAATATAGATGGGAAAATTGCATGTCAGTGAAATTCACTTACAAGTTCCACTTCAAAAGTCAAACAAGGGCTGTGTTTCTTTGTCAGTTTGATCTTGACGGACTTTGCTGTCTGAGCAGTCTTCAGGCACTTCACCATATTGTCTGGGACGACCTCGAGGAAGATCTCGTTATACTCCTCTGACAGCCCATCCATAGCATACTCACTGAAGAAATTAGTCTGGAAATAGAAAACAGATTTCAAGGCAATTTTATTTGATTTGCTTCGCATATCATATGTCCCAAAATAAAATGGCAAAGCATTTTATCTCTTGGTTTTCTACTGAATACTAAAATAACTTACTGATAGTCCAATAATCTTTGATGTGGTATACATGTAAATCTGTTAAGTGTTTGAGGCTATTATTTCATTACATGCAAAGCTTTTTTTCATAGTGTACATAGTGCACATCCCCTTTCAAGAAGATAAAAGTTCTTATATAAGACAAAACAATAAATAAAAACAACAAGTGAAAACAGTAATACAAGGTCTATATTGATTAAAATAAGTTATGTGATTATTTTTACTTTACGTTTCAGAAAACATAATTTCTAGAGACAAGATATAATTCTCAGAGAGATATTTTCTGATGGCCTCCCTGTCTCACCTGTGACAGCTCACACCATATGTTGACCCCGCCGTTAACCAACCTCTCTGATAAAATAAAGTAGATCTTGGAGGAGGTTATTCTTACAGTACAGTTCTTGGCAAGTTTTGCTACCATGCTGATCACTCCTGATAAGACGGATTTTGAGATGATAAAAATTATAACACAAATATACTGAAGTAATGACTGGATGTAATATTTTAAAATCTGAACGCTAAATAACAGTTTGTAAAAGTAACAAAAATACTATATCGCGAATAAAATTTGGCACTTTTGGAGTATTCCCCCTCCCACCATATAAGTAATGTACATCATTTCTTTTTGCACGTTATTACTCGATGTTACTATTATTATTATTATTATTACCTGAGTGACTTAGGGTGTATTTCCAGAGATTTAGATCGATCCAGGGATTAAAATTTAGATTGACCTAACTCCCTGGGGGTTCACGCTAAATTGCAGTCAGCCGAGCGGGCACCATAGTTAATTACCCCCTTACAGCTTTTAGTAGGCGGGACAGACGCTTAAGCTGGCCAAGCTGACAGTAATCTAGTGGGACTCCCCACAGGGATAGATCGATCTAAAAATCTATGGAAATGGGGTGTTACACAGGGGAACTGGTGTGTGGTTTTATTACAGTGAATTACTTACGTGTGAAGTGCTGGATGCATCCAACATCTACAATCTTTCCTCTGAAGCGCATTTTCTAAGTTTTATTGGACCGCAAGAATTAACTTTTGAAATAAAACCAGAATGAAACGCATTCATGTGTTGTACGCTTTCCGCTTGCCTCACTTCACGAAACTCCCGCCATATTGTACAAGTTCTCGTGAGATTTTGAAAAATAAATTGGACCGTGTTGGGATGTTAATTGCCTGAATTGGGAGTCAGTTGCCTCATCTCATGTCCCAAAAGTTTTAATACTTTTAACAGGTTTTAATTTTACACACAAAACAAGCACATTAAACCTGAAAACTTATGTTAAGCGTGACCTATATTTGTAATTTTGCCTCAAGAAACTGTACGAAAATTTGACCCACTTCTTGGCTGTACGTCCCCGTGGCCTAATGGATAAGGCATCGGCCTCCGGAGCCGGGGATTGTGGGTTCGAGTCCCACCGGGGACGAATCAAATTTTTCATTCACAAATGTGTCCAGAATTGTAATTAAATTGAATTTGTTCCTTTATTTAATGTATTTATTTATCCTGCGCCCCGGTACTTTTCTACAAAAGAGATCCCTAAAATGCCCTATCCCATTATTCCTACCTTAAACCCTTGTTAGAAAGATTTTTAAACTAATAATTGGAGAAAGTAGGAAGGTCACATATGAGAAGTTGGGAGTAATTAGACCTCAATTATGAATGAGAACAATGAATCTGAACAAGATCACTTTGAATAATAACATTTTATCTCTTGAAACATTTATTAAGAGATAAATCTCCTTATTTGATGTTCTAACAAATAATATTAATGTCACTCTATGACAATATCTCTTCCGAGCTCAGATAGTTTGGGAAGCTATAAATACGTGGTTATAGAGACCTATAATGTATTTGCACCCTCATCTCATAAATATTCACATATTGGCTAACAAAGGAATGTTAGTAACTCATCAATCACTCAAAAACTACATGCTGGGAAATAATCCACCAGCATCTCGAGTTTTTCTTCTAAACTTAACCATATCTCCTACCAGTTTTCATACACACAGCGTTATAGTATAAAATTTAATACAGATGCATTAGATGTAAAAATATTTCTTCTAAAGTTTACATGGGTGAAAAGTTGCTTAACTGTTGCAAGAGGGAGACTGTAAAAGCAATAAACGGTAATCTTTCCATAAAATTCACCAGGCCTACAGACATTATTTGCAGCCAAGTTTGATAAAACATCAAGATTTTCTCATCTCATGCTGTTAAAATGCTTCGTACAACTACATTTGTTATTTTTTTTTCAAATTTCTTTGCCTTTTCATCAATAGCATATATTTTGTAACTTTAAGTTCAACTTCTGTTTTCTTCTTAACCAAACAGTCACACTGCAAATAGTTTGAATTCCATCCATTGCCATACATCCAGTAAATATCTTCTTCTGTGCAGCATTATAAGTGTAAACACTACACGAACCAAGGTCGTACACAGTATTCCCAATTTGCTGTAAGCTGACAAGCTTGGTTTGCTGCTAGTCTAAACAGGACTGATTCTGTAGGATAACCATTTTGCCAGTAGACTGGAGGAGATATTCTTTTAGGTTATGCTTAAGAGGATGAGGTTAAGCGCACTGTCATTTTATTTTTCTTAAGATCAGTTTGTGAACTATTGTACTAGAGTCTCTCCTAGCCAGCCATTACCATTTTCACAAATTCTGAAAGTAAAAGATAAAACTATGAGGTTTATGTGTAATCCCAGAAAGAAAAACAATGTCATTAAGGTATGGTAATGAAAATCCATTATTTTGAAATTCAACAGATTTTGTTGCATGTAGTACTACATAGATTGGACTGATCTTAAATAAAACTGAACTCCAAAATTGATATTTCAATGATTAATTACTAAGAAAGTAATTAATAACTTAGTCTGCTGGTCAGGATATAGATTCTGAATGTTTCACTCATGTAACTGCATTGCAAAACAAGTTAAAGAATTCTGACAACACACATACCTTCATAGTTAACATTTCCTTGTGAGTCCTCCATGTTCTGCAGCAGTTGCTCCACTTCCTCATCACTTAATTTCTCACCTGAAAGTCAATAGCGACCAATAAATACCACCAATGATTCATGATGCACGATGTGTAACAACAGCTTGATGAGCAAAAAAAAAAAAAAAAAAAAAAACACTGATTTTTTTATATTTGTCATGATTGTAATAACAACTCCACTTGAACTCCATATCAGGTGACAAGAATTTTCCATATATATATATATATTTTTTTTTATACTGACTACATGGAAGTGTTCTTTTATCATATTTCTTCAGACTTTTAACTTAGTGCCTTGTGGTTGTGCTTGCTGTGACAATAGTTAAACAGTGGTAACAATATCCCATTTAGACGTCAGCTACATTTATAGTGGGACAATTGTTAAACATTTTTAGAACAATATTGAAAAGTCAATTTCAAGAAGTAAGCTGTCAGATTCAAAAGGTCTAAGAAACCTCTCCAGAAATTAAATTTTTGTAAAACAGACCCCTGTTGTGCCTTAAAATCTCTCTTCATTTGACACAAGACATGCATAAAAACTTCTTAAGAAGCACACATACCTAGTGAAGACAAAAGATGTCTCAGTTCAGCTGATCCAATAAAACCGTTCTGGTCCTTGTCAAATACTTTGAACCCCTCTATGAAGTCCTCTGCTGTGGTTGTGTCCTGGTTTTTCATGACAGTCTGTAGAATGGGGATGAACTGCTCAAAACTGACCCTCTGGTCTGGAATATGTAAAGTATTTATATTTTCTTGAACTCATGACTTTAACTGATTTTCATGGCAGTTTATAGAATCAGGATAGTCTGGTCTGCAACAGGCAATGTGAAAACATTTCATTATTTGTTGCACATTTTCAAAAGTTAAGTGGTCCAATCATTCTACTTTGGAGTGGCCAAAACTACTAGTAAGTGGTCATTTTATTCTAGTTATAATACGTAATTTGACAACTTAAAATTTTGGAAATAAGCTTTCTGGACACTGAAAATAGGTCATTTGTTTAAGTGCCTTAATAGCCATTATCTCCAAGATATCTATTACTCAGTTAAATTTTTAGTTATCGAAGGGGTAAATAATGGGGTCACTTAGACTTGAATATGAAATTAAACCTTTAAACAAGTGTCAATTTTTCACCCAAAAAAGGGGAAAAAATCAACTAATCTTAAATTTCTCTTTTAATTTGTATTCAGCATTTTGCCAAAATGGTTTACAATGAGGGGAGCCAAAGGTAATTAAAGAAACTGATTATCAAAAAGACTTCCAACCTGGATCCTCTTGGAAGACGCACTTCTTGACGTCGGCCTCAGTTGGGTTCTGTCCCATGGCACGGAGGACATTGCCAATTTCTCCAGCATAGATCTTCCCATCTCCCCTGTTGTCAAACAGGTTGAACGTCTCCTGCAGATCTGAAAGATGAAATACTAAAATTATACGAAGTCTTACTATGTTGGACAACAGACATCATCCAGGAAATGCATGGTGTTTTCAAAAAATAAAAACTGCTGTGTTTGAAAACAAAAAAGTGATACCCTTTCCAGGTACACTTAATCATGAAATTTCCTGTAGTCAAAGAGCAAGGTATATTAACCTAGTGATGATACCTGTTTGTACCTTCTTAATGTGTGTGAGAGGTATGGCACAAACAACCCCAAAATTGTGCTTATTCTAAACAACACACATGGACCACTTTTTCTTCTAAAATATTTTATCTCCACAAAGTCCATATGCAGGTTTAAACCATGATTGCTATGGAGAGGATTATCATCTTTGAGTAAATCATATTATATATTCTAATACCCTAGAGTGGATTGTGGTACTGCAAATATACCAGAAAGCATGGGAGTCGTGTAACATAAACAAGGTGCCATTACAGCAAGTCAAAAGGTCAAGAACACAAATACCAGCCCATAAAATTCTGAATGCAATCAAAATTTCTAAAGGGGGTCACTTGAACATGAGCTGAAGAGAAAGGCCTGGGTGTATGAAGTTTGTTTTAACAACCTAGTAATGACTACAATGAGGTCTTTGGAAATGGTACATAAAATTATCATCCGGGAACCATTTATGTAGCAATTCCACTATAAAAATTCTACTCAGGTTAGTGAAAAGATCCTCTCTCTTTTGCCATATTCTTTAGACCAAGGTAAATTGTGGAAGGTATTTACAGAAAATCTTATCACAAATGTAAGCCTGTTGTATGTTTGTAAATGCTGATAAATCAAAATCATCCATGGATATGAAATTAAAAAGAACAGATGTACGCAAAAAGTCAATTTCCATATAAATATGGTATTGTATGTGGGCCCTTATATGTTAGCTTGGCACCATCAGCATTAATTTCTTCTGTCAGTCTTCCATATTGACTTTATAAAGTACAAACCAGAATGAGAGTGGTTTTCACTAAGCCCTAAAAGCTCAAGCCTGTTTTAAATGGACTCCATACTTCAGGTAAGCAGCACAAGGTGCACTCAAATTTCTTCAATTTCCATAAGTCAATAGCCCTCAAGATCCAAAACAGTTAACTTGTTTGTAATCACGTAATTAATACTTATGGTTAAAACAGGTCTTTTTTCTTCTCCTGTACAAACTAGTGATTCATGTCTCAACAATGCCTTGTCTTAGTATTGTGGCGTACACATTTATATTTATAGCACAAGCTGTTACATGAATCATGCCATAACTGTGGTTTTAATGACTGCACTGCTCAGTGGTGAGGTATTAAGATAAGAATTGGTATGCTGCTCTACCCATGCCTTTGTATACAAGTATAAGTTATAAGTGCTATCACGAGGCAGGTGGTTTGGGAGATTTGGGGGGGGGGGGGGAGAGAAGGATATAAATAAATTCTTCATTGGTATACGTATGACCTGGTTGCTGTCATTTTTTCCCTGTTTTTTTTTTTTAATAAATCTAAGTTATCTTTTAATTAAATACATGCTATCATCAAAATTATTCTTCTTATCAATGGCCTCTTTAGTCATAATTGGCACACCTAATCCTTGCCTGTATAAAAACAAATCAAAATCACAGACATGCAAATTAATTCCTATTCAATATCAGATTTATCTTTAAAATAAAAGTGATTGGGTTTGCAAGTTATAGAACAGTATCACTGCCACTGATAGTAACACCACTGATGATGATTCAGTAATAGTAAGAATAATATCCCCAGCACTGACACTACCGTATACATAAAGCCTTTTCACAAAGGCAAAGACTATAATTTATTAACATTAAATTCAATTTTCATTATATTAAGCTGAAAGTGAATGACAGCAGAAACTAACCCATTTGTATGGTCTCCACATTTTTGAAAAAAGTTGTCACAACCATAACACTCTGCCAGTGGCAGTGCAGTGGAAGCAATGACTCATTTTCCACATTTTACTTCAGTTTGTACCGCTCCAAGTCACAACTTTTCGACTTAACAGAAAACCATGCATAAAACTGATGCACCGAGGGTTTCAGGTGTTTAATAAGACCACAGAGATCTGCGCTAAAATAANTTTTCCCTGTTTTTTTTTTTTAATAAATCTAAGTTATCTTTTAATTAAATACATGCTATCATCAAAATTATTCTTCTTATCAATGGCCTCTTTAGTCATAATTGGCACACCTAATCCTTGCCTGTATAAAAACAAATCAAAATCACAGACATGCAAATTAATTCCTATTCAATATCAGATTTATCTTTAAAATAAAAGTGATTGGGTTTGCAAGTTATAGAACAGTATCACTGCCACTGATAGTAACACCACTGATGATGATTCAGTAATAGTAAGAATAATATCCCCAGCACTGACACTACCGTATACATAAAGCCTTTTCACAAAGGCAAAGACTATAATTTATTAACATTAAATTCAATTTTCATTATATTAAGCTGAAAGTGAATGACAGCAGAAACTAACCCATTTGTATGGTCTCCACATTTTTGAAAAAAGTTGTCACAACCATAACACTCTGCCAGTGGCAGTGCAGTGGAAGCAATGACTCATTTTCCACATTTTACTTCAGTTTGTACCGCTCCAAGTCACAACTTTTCGACTTAACAGAAAACCATGCATAAAACTGATGCACCGAGGGTTTCAGGTGTTTAATAAGACCACAGAGATCTGCGCTAAAATAAAACTGGGTACAATAAACACCCCATTTTCATTCAAATAGGTGTGGCTAAATGAACGCGCCGAGCCAGACTAAGTGACCTACTTAAGAAGGTAGAAAAGTGACATTTAACTTACCAAATATCTGATCGTCAGTAAGCTTTGTCTGAAAATAGAGAAAAATTAAGTATAGCGTCACTCTAATAAGAACAAAAGACGCTGAACATTTCTAAAATCTCAATAAATTCCAATACAATGAAGGACCTACCGTTTTAGCCATCTTAACGGAAGTGTATGCTGATCAACTCACAGCTTATTCATGTGCGACAGAAAATAGTGCGAAGTCATACTCTTTAAAATCACTACGCTTAATTCAATGAACAAGACCTTGACATTTACGTGTCACGGCGTTTACTTTGACAAAGTGCGCATATTTTTTTCTTTGAAAAAGAAAATAAATTATCAGAATTAAGCCGTTTGTTTCAAAGAGTCTTTGTTTTTCTGTTATTGAAGCACTCTGACTTTCTTTCGTTCCTCAGTGTTGTCAACATCCGGTTTCACCCGGAAGTAAGTTGTGAATGAATGAATGATGACTGCTGGCGCAGTGTAAGAAAGTAATTTTTGTACAGAATTTGGGGGCAACCATGGATACTACCAGGGTAAGGTTAGGTGAACTTTAAAGTATAGTCTTGTCATATTTTGAACAAAAATTGTAAGTGATTTTGCAGTGTTACAGCTGTATGCTAGTTTGAGATACTGCCAGACAGATGTCGATCTTTGCAGCATTTAAAAATGAAATGTGGCGTTCCAACTTTTGTTACCTGTAAGTGTAATTAGGCCAAAAAACTGAAGCAAGAATAAGGGATGTCGGAAACCACAAGATAAAAAAATAAATAAATAAATTTTCTTGCTCAGCATTTCTCATTGTTTATACTAGTACCTGGTAACTTATTGTATCTTATTCCAGCAAATTATGGTCATGTGTCCTAAAGTGCTCTCGGGCTGCTCATCTTGATCTCAAATTCAGTCAAATTTATTGTGCCATCACTTTCAGGGACAGACACAGACTCTTTTTGTTCAATTTCTCGCTGATAAGTGGTATAATAGTCTTAATATACATTTGTATTGGAACATATGTAAAAAGGATTAGTGAAGATGTGGCATTTAATGTTTCAGAATTTTACCAAGGTGACGGTGAGGAATCCAGTGACACATGATCAAGAAGAGACAGGAAAATACACATCATATGAGATACTTCTTGAGGTTGGTAAATTATTGAATACATTTTTTTCAGTCTCTCTTCTTCCTTTCCTTGCAACACATGGTCTGATATCCATGTTGGCATTGTTAAATGTATGTGTTTATTATTTCCTGCAGTTGTTTGTCCATCTGCATCACAACCACTATTACGTTAAATTAAAAAAAAAAAAAAGAATTGATCCGTTAAGGCTGCTGCCCCTCTCCCACTGTCATCCCGTAAATATTAGTGAATGAGGTACATATATGTGTATTTGTAAGTTTGTATCAATGTGTGTGTGCAGGCATGCACATGTGTTTGTGTTTACATATTCATGTATTATTTTGAAACATATTTTTCATTTTAGACTTCCAGTATTGCATTCACCCACCCTTCATCAGTAGTAAGAAGGAGATACAGAGAGTTTGACTGGCTGAAAAAACAGCTCAAAATGAATCATCCTTTCCAGTAAGTTGCCCCAGAACTATGCTGCATGAGAAAAAATTATTTGTATTGGATTGATTATGCAGTGTGTATGTAACTAGAACTTAAAGATGCAGTGTGTATGTAACTAGAACTAGAAAAAAAGTCAGGAGAATGAATCAGTTAGTTAAGGTGATTGGAGAAATAAGTAATTTCTTATTTTGTTCCTTTTTTAACCACATGTGGAAATGAGATTGCATATGTCCAGTTGTACCTACTAAATAGTATGGATATGCATCAGCAAATACAAATTAGCCAAGATCAAAAGTAATTGATTTGTTTAAAATCTCAAAATTTTTTTTCAGCTCCCCACCTAGTCTTCCTCCCAAGAAATGGGACAAATTTGAACCCCACTGCATAGTTGATAGATGCAGAGGATTAGAACAGTTCCTCAAAGAGTGAGTTATACCATTTACTTGAATTAAAGATGTGGTTTTGGTTTAGAAGATAAGTAATTTAAATGTCCTGGCTTCCAAAACCATTTTTCCAAACATTTCTTGTGCAAGGTTGAATCAATACAGAAAAGCAAAAAAAGAAAATTAAATTACATCGAAAGATTAATAAATCATGAGTGACTGGTGAGATGTCATTAAACAAGATTTTAAAATTTAATCAAATCATTTCCTTACCTTATCCATCCTCAATTGCTCCTGTTGGAACCAGTGAATCACAGATCTCCACAACAACAGAAACATCCTCCACCGCCCTATGCGAATTATTACTGAAACCATTGCCTTTACTAGTATACTAGTAATGTGCCCTAATTGTTTTTAAATGATCATGGTCTGTGTTTTCCTTTACAGTTGTTGTTCCCAGACGGTTTACCTGTCGGACAGTTTATTCCACCTGTTCCTGCAGTCGTCACTGTCCACCAATGAGATGATGCATGTGGTGTACGGGAAAGGCAATGACAGGAGCGTCCTGGATGAGATTCTACACTCTGGCTGTGCCTTTGACAACTCCCAGTGAGTTTCTTATTTCTCTTATTTGAAGAATGAGATGTCCGTTAATTGTATGATTTGATATATGTCTTGTATAGTTTTGACTAAAGTTGCTAAGCAGCAGTGAAAACACTATGAGACATACAGAGCAGTGCTAATAAGACAATGAGTAATTTTAATCAGATTTTCTGATAGAATTAGATACTAAAAATGTCTTAGTGTATCATTCCTCTTTGTTCACTGAACATCCTATAAATATAAGTGATTTATGGTGCATGTTTTGTTTGTGTGATGATGTAGGATATTGCAGTGCAGAACCACCTATATGTTGGGTGTCACCATATAGGTGCTGTATATTTGGCCACCAGCCAGTCATATCAGTAAACTTGATGTCTGGAGACTGCACATTCAGTATTCAATTTGTGATCACCACAACAGGTGGTATTCTAAAATGGGGATTTTCCTTGCCCTCTCAAGATGATTATATAATTATTTATTCATAGTGTGTTATTTTCCTACGAAATTGCTATTCTTTATTTCTCAGTTCCGGCAACCCAGGAACATCCAGCTCCATCAACACAGAGTGCGAGGTCATAGTACATAGAGAAGAGGACGCTACATAATCATGTGACCAGATCACATGATAGTCATGTGAGCAGTATCAATGTGCCATTTACAGTTACAAGGGACCAGTATAAGATATGAAGCCTAGATAGAATGAGGCAAACAAGGCACTTACTTCTTCTGAAAAAAATCTCCACATTTTGTTTGCTGATACTGGTCAGTGAAGCATGGTCACATGATGATGGTCAGTTGTGATCCATCCCCCCTGAGTCAATTTAACATTCCAAAGTGTATATTGGTCACAAATGCTAAAATTCCTGCAATTACTTGTTTTTGGAATGAAAGCCAATTTAACATTGTATGATTAATATTATTTCATTGTGCAAAAATATGAATCTCTTCCAAATTTCTTAACTGAACAAATGTTACCTAGTACACACTTAAATTTTATTATTCTTTTTTTGTCTGTTGCTGATTTTTAAAACTTAATATATTATGGAATTTATTCTTCATTTGTTGAATTCATACATTCAACTTTATCTTAAGGTGACTTGTATAAGGTGTCACATTTTACACATATTTTGATTGAGCATCTGCTTTTATCTTTCTTAATTTTACTCATACTGTTTTAATGTGCAATATGTTCATGTTGCAATAATACATTTTATCCGTTTATCATAAAATCAAAATAACTTGCGTCGTCTGTGAATTTTTTTTGTTTTGGTTATTTTAATGATTAGTTATTGTATGTAGAGCAAATGTATATACTTGTAAATAAGATGTATTACAATAAAACTATGAAAATCTTTCAAGTAATATTGTTTTGTTTTCACTTTATTATAATTTGAAAATGAAAAAGAATATTTAGATGGATGTCATAGGACACGAGGAAATGAAGCATATACAATGTATTTTTCCGCGTACACGAACTATTTTTAAAAGGCCATAGATAGGTCATAAGCAAAGGTTTCATTACCAGAACGTCTTACAGAACATGAAATATATATAATATGCGGAATCGTTGATCTTTGCAAACCAATCGTTGATCTTTGCAAACCAAAGGTACAAAGTTTGGACAATCTCTTCCTAATGAAGTAGAGGAATAGAATGGGCTGTTGGAGTATGTTATGTTAAATAGTGTGTAAGATAAAACGAGCGATAAGTACGTTCCGCATTATTTATTCGAGGTAAAATATAATTTCAAGTATAAGGGGACGAGTTATACAGAGATTAATGTATGTTAAAAAATGGATTTGTTTTTATTGCCAATTTTATTTTCCAGTTGTGTTGGTGGGAATTTTGCCGTGTGTTTCTAAGACACCAAGAGCAGAAGGGGGCGGATTGCGTTACCCCAAAGAGGGTACACATTTCTTTCCCTTTACCAGGGCTACAGATCGACGTTTCACAAAATATTCACAGATATATCTCTGGCTAATTCTTACTATAGTTTCATACTGTCCAGACAGAATTTTTGCATGGAATTAATGTCATCACTGATCTGGTCCCTAGTATAGAGGAATGTTTACAATGACTTGTGTTATCCTCACTGACACTGCGCAAACTATAGTGTTTGCCGTTCAGATTGGGTTACGGTGGCTATATATACAGTGAAGGCACTGGTAGAGGTGTCTGTAAACTCTTGCCAACCATTGAATGCGGAGATAACCCGTAATACCTGATCACAGTTAGGAACAAAAGAAACAAGAATAGAAACTGAGGTATGCTGCTATCTGAAACGTTCTCTCACTCTCTCTCTCTCTCTCTCTCTCTCTTTGAAGTAATCTGGAGCTGCAGACTTCTGATGTACTGTAACACCATATAAAGATTCCATTTTGTATCAGAAATCCCTTGATGGGAAAGGATGGGAGCTCCCCAACCCCACTCCCTGCTGCCTGTAGCCACTAACTGTGACTACTTTACTATTTCCAGATGAAGCTGTTTGTTCTCGGCGCCACTGGTGGATGCGGCAAGGAGCTGGTCAAGCAGGCCCTGGAAGCTGGACATCAAGTGACCGCAGTGGTCAGAAACCCGGACAAGGTCAAAATGCGGGACGACAACTTAACGGTAAAAGACAGTCTGTTCTTGTTCTAAGATTGCAATGAAATACAGTGGAATAGATAAGTAAATTTCGTGTTAAAAATCAGTATTTAACAGGTTGGACTTTTCTTTGACTAGGATCCCCTACTAAGACTGCATTCCCACAGATTTAGATCGATCCATCTGGATAGACCTAACTCCCTGGGGGTTCACGCTAAATTGCTGTCAGCCGAGCGCGCACGAAAGTTAATTATTCCTTTATTAATATTATGATATTTTTATGATGGTGACAGGTGCCTAATGATAGTGATTTCTACAACAACAAACTAATATCAGTAATAATATGGATGTTGATCAAACTATAATAGTAAAAACGACGATATTAACTGACTTCTAAAGAAAACTAAATCATGCTTTCAGATAATCAAGGGGGACGTCTCAAGCGAGGCCTCACTGGCTGACGGGATGAAGGACCAAGACGCTGTGATTTCGTGCCTCGGCGCCATGCCTACTGAGGACACCAAGGCCAAGTTTACCTTCTTCTCGGACTCCATACGGGTCATCGTAGGCGCCATGAGAGCGGCTGGGGTGGACAGACTCGTGTGCATTACTGCCTGGTGTACTGTACGTAAGTCTCTAAAGTTTCAGATATTACTGGTGACTTTATTGTCGGAGATAAGTAAGCCATAGCAAACGTGTAAAAGGTGTATGCAGGTACGGTTTGGGGTGATGTGTTCAAAATAACCGATTTTTAGGTAGGAAAAGTCCGCTTTGAATCCAAGGTTGAGTTGGGTTTCATGTCATTTCTCAAGTTTGGCCAGTTAACGGGGTAAAAAGTCGTTTTTTGTCAGAAAAAACTTTGTATGTGCTAGCTAGAGGCCCAATACAACTCTACGTACTCTGCGTGCCCCAAGTCAAAGCCTAGTCTGCATCTATTTTTTTACTTATTTGAATAAAACAAAGGTGCATGGTTTTTAAAATTAACAACAAAACTGAATCACTGATAAACCAATAATTTGGTGTCTTTTTATGTCAATCATGCAACTGGTGTACCTTTTCACCGTAGTTTTATTTGGTTATCCAGGAGTTCCAGAGGCCCCTGAGAGAATCAAGTCTTTCTGGTACCCGTCCTACGTGGGCGTTGTCACGGAGGACCAGGGAAGGATGGAGAAGTATCTGGCCGAGGAGGCCAAGGATATCCGCTACACGTGCGTGAGACCCCCAGAACTGAACGAGGAGCCTCTCTCTGGTGAGTGGCTGGACATGAGGGTGTTTTCTTTTTAAATTTCATTTATTTTGTTTAGATGCCAAGACGAAATTGTCTTTTGTGCCTGGATTTCTTTTTTTTTTGTGAAATCACTGTTATTTATAAACTTTTTGACAAAATGTGAGGACATTTCTTAAAGCTGCAATCCTTAACTCGTTTTACTGCAATCGCTTCGCAAAGTAGACTACATGTTTACTGAAACGAAAAGAGCGCTAGTGTAAATACTCCACGTATGATAATTTTTCAGATAATGTCACAATAGCCTTTCATATCAAATAAAAATGTTGTTTCACTCTTTACAAATTTTACATTTTACATTATGACAGGCAAGCCGATCATAGCAAAGGAGGCGTACTGTATAGATCTGAACGAAGGCTTGATTGGGATTCCTAGGGCCAATGTCGCCTGTTTTATGCTGTCCATGTTAACTACGACAGTGTGGGACTGGAAGGGAGTGGCCATAGCACTGCAAAAGTGAACCCCGCCCGAGCTTAAGTTTCTGACATTAGCATCCGAGAAAAACAGAGGGTCTGTTGCCCAAAACGACTAACAAAACAAAGAAGTAAACCATCGGCCCTAACAAAGACTGCTAAGGCTTATAAACGACTGTTATATTCATTCATTAAACTCTTCCTATTTAATAAAGCCATTAGATCAAATCTGATACAATGATATTTACTTTCAGTAAGCCAAGAAACGTGTGCCAAAAACAATTCTTGTCTGGCGCTCGATCGTTGAAAAAAAGAAAACGCACCAAAACCGATATTGGTTAGTCTTATCTTTATTTTCGGGTCTCCAAGTCATTAAGCAGACATCAAAGAAGAAAAATAAGTATAACAAAATAAATAAAGACACAAAGTACACAGTAGGCCTAATAAGAAACGCAGTAGGACTCCTACCGACCTCTTCGTGAGAAAACAAGTCAACACTAATAATCCGACCATTATTCCATCTTTTATTTACTCTTTCAAAGTGTTTTCTAACACATTAGCCATTATAATCCAAACTCTGATATATTATTTTTACTTAAAATGCTATACCATCACCGGGCATTGTGCAAAATCACATTTTCCCTAAAAGTAACCTTCTGCCGGTATTCTGCTGAATTTCACACTGCCAGAACACATTCACTTCCTACCAGTAAGACAAACATATCGAAATAACCTAGATTTATTGTTGGGCTTGAGCCTCGGTTTTTAAATTATTATTTATTTATACTTTTCATTATTATTTGAAATATAAACGGTACGAACATTATATTGACACATAGCTACACTTTATCTCTTAAGCTTTCTAATGATACTTTTGCTTCATTGCTTCATTTCTACAAAAAAAAAAAAAAAAAAAAAGAAAAAAAAAGGTTATGGCCAGAAATATGAAGGACCACAGTAAATCATAATTATTACACATTGTTTTCGGTACAATTCTATTTTCTATAAGTCAAGCACATCTCATTTTGTCGATACTTTGCTTTAAACGAGAATATTTTGAATATTGGCCTAACAAACTTAAAATGCAATTTTCAGATATTCCTCCGATCCATCTGAAATTAAGGTAGTGTCCTCGGCATACTGGCAAATCTTAACCTGTAATCTGTCCCCGCAAATTTTCTCAATTTTTTCTAACTATTAACCCCAGTATCTCTGCACATATTATGAATATACCCGGTGATATGAGTCAGCTTGCCAACACCCCCAACCTATTTGAAACGGTGTCGAGTTATCATGTGGAATAACACCTAGTTCATAGTTCAAACTTTTTGTTCAAACAAATATTTTGATTATTTTTTCCAAATCAATCTTATTTTATTCAAACTCAATCAGCATTTAAGTCTTCGTCATGTTCTTCCATATAGTTCCTGACATCATACGGCCGTCTTATATTATTATCTACGGATTTTACACTGATGAATCCCTTCTGATCCCCATTTTCTATGTCTGGTTATATTGTTTTTAATTTAATAGTTCAATATTATGACATGATTTAATAAGAGGTATTCAATAATAATATTTTTAAATTCCCTCGGTTTGTCCCGTTGCAGCAATATTTTTTGACTGATCTGAAGAATAATATCCCAAAATCCGGCCAAGAAAATTAAAAATTCTAAAGTATATCATGCGGGCGTGGTCTTTTCCTATCTTTCAATTGCCTAGCAGACCTTGAATTAAAAATTACTTCTTCAAGAGTGATGTTTTCAAGAATATTATTATTCCCCATGTCCCTTAATTTCTTATGTTATAGGTTTCGAGTAAAGGCATCATATTTGCATCTTTTAGATATTCTACTGTTTAACACATTTTGATAGATTTCACTTCCTTTAGAATTATATTTTGTTTGTTTATCTTGTTACCATAACATAATTGCCGAAAAAATATTCTGATTTGTTTAATTTATTTTTTCTAATGAACGAATCTTACCGCTCTTACTTTCTTGAAATGGGACATTTCTGAGTTTTTACTTTAAGGAGGCACCTCGCAGGTAAACTCAAACACACTTGACTGGCCCCCGAAGCCGAAAATGGTCAATATATTGGCCCATAATAGGACACTGGGTGTGCAGGCAAAGGTCGTAGGGCCACGTTTTGGCCTCTTTTTGACCTCACCGACGGATAAGACCTCCTGTTTAACATCACTTTCGGTTTCACTTCTCGTTATCCTGGATAGAGACTCCGTTATTCGGGCACCGTGATCTTCTTCAACTGCCTCCGGTGGTTCGTTGACTGCAAGATAAATTGCAACAAACTGATGGTTAGCATAGTGATGTATTGTGAATCCTGCATGGTTAGGAAAATACGGGGAAAACGATTTACTATCAACAGGACGTGAAAATAATTTGCCCCCCCCCCCCCCC